CATGGATTCAGCACCCGGAAGGTGCAGCTCCCCTGAGGGAGGAGAAGCAAGTCACCAGGTGGCCCAGCTCCCGGGGTCCAGCTGAGCTCCACAGCCAGCTCCGGGCCTCCCTCCCAGCCAGGAGGAGAGAGCAAGGCTACTGCCTGAGGGCTCCTGTGTGACCTGGCCCTGGCCATCCGAGTGGGGCGTGCGTCTCTTGCTCGCTGTCAGCGGCCTCCAGCTTGACCTCCGCCTTCCGGTGCCTTCTGTTCTCTCCGTTTTCACAAAGAGGTTCCGAAGCTGTCGACGAGTCTGTCCCTGCAGGATGATGGCGCAGTCCCCAGGCTGGTCTCCCACCCCTTCCCGTCTGCACCCATCCGACCACTGCTTCACCAAGCTGGAACGATGCCAAGTCACCTTCCTCTCGTCCCTCACCTGCTTCGTAAGGAGATGAGCAGCAGGACATGGAGCCCCACAGTGCTCTGCCACGGCCTCCCAGCCCACGGGGGCCTTCCCTCTGACTCTGGCCCAGCGGCCCAGCTCCCTCTCAGGCAGACGAGCCTGCTGCTCCAGTGCAGGAGTCGGGGTGCCCGCTCGCCCTCTGCCCCATGTGCTCTCTGGCCTGGTTATGGAGAAGTCATCTTCCAATCTCGGTTCTGCCTCTCGCTTTGCTACATCCTATTTATTCTTCAAATGAGAATAAATAGGATGAATGCACCCTCTTTCACAAGGGCCGTCCTGTGAAGGAGGCAGCGTGCCCTGGCATAGACGTGGCCCTTGGAAGGAGCGCAGGCCTGTTGAAATTGGCAAGATAACAAGCAGCAGAGTTTCTGACGGCTGGAGGAGAAGGCCCGCCATGCTGCATCTTTAATATCCCACGGGGACCAGGCCGTTCCTTTGAATCAATGGTAGAAGTCACTGTGAAGAGAAATAGGAACATGTGCGAATATCCCACCTGTTTTAAAAGACTATGCCTTGCTCTGTGGGTGTGTCCCACTTCTCCACCAAGCATTCTCAATGGCCATCTTATTCTTTTGCATAAAGAGCCAAAATTCTAAACATGAAGAGCCAAAGCAAAACAGCCAAAACAACTTGTGAATCGTTACTGGGGCTGACCAGAGGCAGAGCGAAGAGAGAAGTCAGAAACCCCTGCTGCTGCTCAGTACTCTTGCACCTGACATTGCACTCCAGATCCTGTGGGCACTGGTGTGCAAATGGACTTGTATCGCACAGCCCTGGGCTTGCACTTCATTATGCACCACACTATCTGATCACTGCAGAACTCAGATACCTGTCTGGGACCTCACATGTGAGTTGGGATCCATGATATCGTTCACAAACAGTTATCATGTTCTTCCTTCCTGAAGTACAGGAAGGACAATGGTGAACCCCAGCCCTCACTGGAGCAAGAGTGGTCCATCAAGGACAGTCACACACGGTGACTGAGCTCGTCCACTTACAGGGGCACGATGCCATTTTCACTAGAGATTGGCAGCTGTCAGCCCAAGCCTGCTGGGCTCAGTGCCTTGGGCCTGTGGTGGGGCAGCAGGTCACAGCAGGAAGACACAGGGCAGCAGAGTCACTCACTGGTGACCAGGAAGAGGAAGGGGGTCCCTTGAGGACCCCTGTGGTCTCTCTCTGGTAAATCCCGGGGACATGAGTCCCCTGGCTGTGGCTACCAGGGGTTGTCACTCCTGCTGGTCCACACACTACTTCCACAATTGCAGTTTGTTCGGCTTTTTGTTGTTGCTGGGAAATGAGTGATGGCCTCTAAGCTTTTAAAATTTTAAATTGAATCTAGAAATTCTTTGAATTTTAGTTAAATAAAAGATGTTTATTTTTTGTTTGTTTTCCAAAATACTGTGCCCTGAAAATGTACTTTGAGTCTGTCCTGTTGCCTGCTACAGAATCAGTGGTATGTGAACTTTTTTTTTTAAACAAAACAAAACAAAACAAAACTCCCATTCAATTACATTTTCTCTGCTTCTAAAATCCTTTTGTCCTTGTTGTTTTGCAATTCAACTATGTATCATCTAAATATGAATTTCCAAAACAAATTATTGCTGAGGATTAGTAAAGTAATGACTATGCTTCATTTATTTACTTTTAGGGTGGGGATTTTGGTGGTTCCTGAGTTAAAGCTCTAGAGGAACACCTTGTCAAGTTAGGAGTAATGATACTTATGGTGGTCAGGTCACTTTATCTCCTGGCTTCCTTCCGGCTTCACTCTTTATGTTACAGTAGTGAGTGAGTTTGCTGTTGGGGAATTGGTTGCAGTAACCACTCCAGGGAGTCCCCGCTCCTGGAAAGAGATTGACGCTTGGCATAAGTTGAAAATGAGGGGTAGTCATGGACCAATAGGATCGTTGAAAATCTGTCCCCACTCTTCAGCCCGGAAGGGCCTGTGTGAGGTCCCGAGTCTGCACTCCTGGAGCAGGGTTTTGAGTCCGGGCCTGGCTGGGATCTGTCTCTTCCGGGGTGCTCTGTGTCTGAGCCTCCACCTATCCTTCCAATCCCTTGCTTTTTCTGCTAGCTGTCCCCTGTCTATTCTGGCATGCGGTGTCCATGGTCTGCTCTCAAGCTACAGAGTGTCACTGCCAAGTGACTTCCATGTCAGTTTCTCAGGTGACAAGTGCTCGTGTTTCTCTCTCCTTTGGCAAGGAGGGGTGCTTCTCAGGAGCACGCATTGTCCTCTCATCACAGGTAAGAAAAACAACAACCCTCTTGAATTCTTGAGGTTATTTTACACAGGATTTCATAGACATGTACATGGGCCCTTTCATGCTGGTCTCGCCTGCTGAGAGCCATTGCCAAGTAGGAATGACGCATCGAAATTTTCTTGTCAGCCTACCCCATGTTGCTTAGAGGAAGGACTCTCCATTGTGGAAATGGGCTTGTCTTAGACTCAGGTCATTTGCAGTGACATTGCATGTATGCTTGAGTAAGGTGACCTTGCTCAAGGACCAGGGCGGATCAGGTTTTAGGGACTATCCCGCTCCTTGGGTTTAGGGCAGTTCCAGGTTTAAGGTGTAACCTGCCGGGAATAGGGTGTATCCTGCTGATTAGAGCCTGGTGGAGTACGTGGATTTTGCCCAGAACCATATTTTTCCCCTGGAGGGCCGGTGTGAGTTCGGGAATAAAGAATTGCTGTTTGAATCTACAAAGCTGTGAGTGGCTCGTGATTTTGTGCCCAGCCAGACTGCGGCACTCACCCCCAAAGGAAACTGACAAGCTGCTGACCACGTAAACCTTCCACCACTGGCTTGTTCACTTCTAATGGGTCTTTTAGAGGTTACTTACATCTTAGAGATGCTGCTTGGTTTTCGTAATTTCAAACTTGTGAAAACCTTCTGTTTATTCTGTTCCTGCCCCCACTCTAGGTATGTACCACACAACACCGGATGCAGACACACACTGTGGAGGGTGAAGGACACCCTCAGACTCCACTGACCACCAGTTCTGGCTGGGAAGTTTCCCTGGGCATTTTGGCCACCATTTTGGCTGTGTTTACTGGCACAGGAGGCTTGGCATGAGGGCTCCCTCCCCTGCGGCAGTCCCAGATAGCGACTGGGTGGCTGACGTGGAACACTGCGCCTGCCAGCTACCCACAAACACTGCATGCCAACCTCTGCACGCCACTTCTCGACGTCCACATTGCAACCAGGGCATGAAGACCAAGTGCACACGCCACCCACACCCAGCTTGCTCTAATGTGGACATTAAGCTTTGGAAAATAAAAATGTTTTTCATATGGGGGCTGGGGTTGTGGCTCAGTGGTAGAGCACTTGTCTAGCATGTGAGGGGCACTGGATTCGCTCTTCAGCACCACACAAATAAATAAATAAAGGTATGTGTAAAACAATATTTTTCATCTGTAAAAATATTATTCTCTTGTCATTAACATAAAAAAGAACCAATGTTTAAAGTTTTAACAACAATAACAGCAGAATATGAATCTCTCTAGATTAACTAATTAGTCAGTGAGTAATTGAGCTCCTACTATAACCCAGCCATGGGATATGCCCAGGGCACAGAAAGAAAATGAAAATAAGTTCGACTCTTGTGAAACTCAGCCTCTTAGTGTGGGGTAAGAGAACCCTCCAAAGACAGAAAAACCACATGGTGGGTAAGGATCAAACTGAGATGGAATGACCCACCATGGAAGTGCACACCACTCATTTAACCCATTGTCAGCATGCATGAAAAATGATTCCTTTGAAAACAGGAGTGTCTCCAAAAATTATAATTCCTTAAAAGAACCTGCCACTATAATCTGGATGCTTTCTAGAATGTAGCCCTGAAAGAGAAATTCTTCCATTTTTGTGTGTGTGTGTGTGTGTGAGAGAGAGAGAGAGAGAGAGAGAAAGAGAGAGAGAGAGAGAGAGAGAGAGAAAGAGAGATTACAAAACACACACACACTACAGTGTGCCTAGGTAATATTTGATGTGATTACGCCACACTACACCAATGTACCACACCATTGCAAGAACTTATTTATGGATGAAATACAGCTGGATTTTTTTCCCCCTGAAACTTAAATGAATTTTTGATTTGTCTAAGTGCCCAAGAATCTAAATTTAAGTTTCTGTGGTGTTGAGGTTGGGACAGAATAGCTTACAATAAATCATAATAGTAAAAACCAATTGATTGTACCAGAGATGGATTTTGTGGGCAACTGCCATTTTTCTCTAAGACAAGTTATTTTGAGTGTCAATATGTTTTACTATACACAAATATATGGTGTTTTTAAACTCTGTGAGTTAAAATGGATTTTTGTCAACCTTTCCAACATCATTCTGTCACAAACTCACTTTTTTGAACAATGAAGTACAAAAATCTAACTAGATATAGTTAAGACAAAAATAAGCTATTTATTTGAAAATATACAGAAGTTTACTATATTTATTTTAGCCAATATCTGTAGGCAATGAAGGTTTTAATTTATAAACTGTAAATATATAATAATTATAAAAACATTTTGAAGAAGTTCTAAATTAAACAATCTAGTATATTGCTCTTATTAAAGTTATATCAATCTTATTAGAGTTTTTCCATATGTTCATTTAGGAGTTCAATTTCTACGTAAACTATTTCCTCTTTTTATGTGTATTCCCACTCCTTTATTTTGATATTATTCTAAATTAGTAGAATTCTGTAATTACACCATGCATGAGGTCATGAGTGAATAGAATATATACTTTTATAAAGTGCTGACTTCAGGAATGAGCCTATTAGAAGGAGACAATCCTAGAAAATGTGGAGGTGACCGAGTGGAGAGTTCTGGGGTCATGTGCTCGGAGCTTTCTGTGCCTTGGAATCCCAACACCTGCTGGCTGTATAATCATGGGCCACATCAGCCTCCCACGCTGCATTCCTTAATCTGTGAATGGGCCAAATCATAACGTGTTAGTTTCTATTTATGTGAAGGTTAGCAATGATAATAAAGGTAGCACCAGAAATCATACCTGACACGTGGAACCCAGGTCCTCAGTGGCTCTCCCTGGAGCTGGCTTCTCCCTGCTTCATCTCACTAGATTAAGCCCTCCAACATGCATAGGCTCCTTGTGATCTGCTACGTCCTTCACTGAAGAACAATCAGGAATCAAATAGAGTCATTTAAAATGCAGAAAGCGGGGGATCCCAGATGGCGGGCCAGAGGGAGGCAGTATTCTGTGTCGCTCCGTGACTGGGACTCAAGTAGTTAGAATACTGTTTCTCTGCGAGCTAGATTCCTGCTCCTGTGCAGGATTCACAGCCACTGTGCCCATGCTGGGCTCCAGGCCCCAGCGTCAGAGTAGGTCTCCCAACTACCTGCCCACACAGGACTGCTGGGTGACCATCGGCATCGGCACCTATGCAGAACTTTGGACACCAACCTGAGCAGAAATCCCGGACACTGCTCCCATGAATGACACCCAGCAGCTACCCCCACACAGGAACTCTGGCCGCGGCTCCAGTGTGGACCCCCATCTACCAATGTGGGGCTCCCCCCGTCTTGGGACTCCGCAGCAACAGAGATAGTCCCCAATGTGCGGTAGCCTATGTGCAACTGGGAACTTCACACAGGCTCTGAAGACAGCCAAAACCACCCACTGCATGGTGACACAGCTCTGTCTCTGAACACATCGTCCACGTCTAAGGCCATCACCTGGCTCCCCCACCTGACACCCCGTGGCTGAAAGCAGACACCTCCGTCTCGGGCCACCTTCATCACCATCTTTAGTCGGGGCAACTCCCAGTGGAACTCTGGCTGGCCAGGTACCCAGTTTCCAACTCCCCACTCTCCCCAGCAGACACTGCCCCACACAGTGACCTCCTGGCTACCTTTACCATCATGTGATGGAGATATCAGCTGCAGAGACACCAGCTAACAACAGGTGACCCCACCTATTGGATGAGAAGGGAAGCAGGAAAGTTACTGGTCTCTAACCAAAATAATCCTTGTTTCAACACCCAAAGAGTAGAAGACAGGAAATAAATCAAACCAGAGCTGAAATCAATGAAACTGAAACAAAAGAAACAATTAAAAAAATTGACAAAACAAAAAGTTGGTTCTTTGAAAACATAAATAAAATTGACAAATCCTTAGCCATGCTAATGAAGAGAAGACCGAGAAAACTCCAATTAGCAACATATGTAATAAAGTGTCTATCACAACAGACACTACAGAAATACAGAAGACAATTAGAAATTATTTTGAAAACTTATACTCCAATAAAATAAAAAATATAGATGGCATTGACAAATTTCTAGAGTCATACGATTTGTCCAAATTTAATCAGGATGATATACAATTTAAACAGATAAATTTTAAGCAATGAAATAGCAGACTACATCAGAAGACTACCAACCAAGAAAAGACCAGGACTGGATGGATACACAGCCAAGTTCTACAAGACCTTTAAAGAAGAACTAATACCAATACTCCTCAAATTATTTCATGAAATAGAAAAAAAAAAAAGGGAGCCCTTCCAAACTCATTCTATGTGGCCAATATCATCCCGATTCCAAAACCAGCCAAAGACACATCAAAGAAAGAAAACTTCAGACAACTATCTCTAATGAACATTGATGCTAAAATTCTCAATAAAATTCTGGCAAATCAAATACAAAAACGTATCAAAAAAGATCATGCACCATGATCAAGTGGGATTCATCCTAGGAATGCAAGGTTGGGTCAACATACAGAAATCAATAAATGTAATTCATCACATCAATCAACTCAAAGATAAGAATCATACGGTCATCTCAATATTATTGATACAGAAAAAGCATTCAACAAAATACAGCACCCCTTCATGTTCAAAACACTAGAAAAAATGGGGACAACGGGAACATATCTCAACATTGCAAAGGCTATTTACACTAAGCCTCAGGCCAACATAATTCTAAATGGAGGAAAATTGAAGGCATTCCCTCTAAAAACTGGAACCAGACAGGGATGCCCTCTTTCCCACCACTTCTATTTAATGTAGTTCTTGAAACACTGGCCAGAGCAATTAAACAGATGTAAGAAATTAAAGGGATATGGATAGGAAAGAAGAACTCAAATTAGCACTATTTGCTGACGATAAGATTCTATACCTGAAAGACTCAAAAAATTCTACCAGAAAACTTTAGAACTAGTAAATGAATTCAGCAAAGTATCAGGATATACAGTTCACGCCCATAAATCAAAGGTGCCTAAAACATGCATTGGAGAAAAGATAGCCTCTTCAACAAATGGTGCTGGGAGAATTAGAAATCCATATGCAGCACAATGAAACTACACCCCTATCTCTCACCATGTGCAAAACTCAACTCAAAGTGGATCAAGGACCTAGGAATTAAACCGGAGACTCTGTGTCTAATAGAAGAAACAGTAGGCTCAAATCTCCATTATGTCGAATTAGGCCCCGACTTCCTTAAGAAGACTCCTGTAGCACAATAATTAAAATCAAGAGTTAATAAATGGGATGGATTCAAACTAAAAAAAAAAAAAACAATCAATGAGGTGAAGAGAGAGCCTACATTTTGGGAGCATATTTTTCCATACACATATCAGATTCAGCACTAATCTCCACGATATACAAAGAACTCAAAAAAACTTAACAGCAAACAAACAAACAAACAAACAACCCAATCAATAGATGGGCCAAGGGCCTGAACAGACACTTCCCAGAAGAGGATATACAATCAATCAACAAATATATCAAAAAATGTTCACCATCTCTAGCAATTAGAGAAATGCAAATCAAAACTACTCTAAGATACCATCTCACTCCAGTCAGAATGGCAGCTATTAAGAACACAAACAACAACAAGTGTTGGTGAGGATGTGGGGGAAAAGGCACACTCATACACTGCTGGTGGGACTGCAAATTGGTGCAGCCAATATGGAAAGCAGTATGGAGATCCCTTGGAAAACTGGGAATGGAACCACCATTTGACCCAGCTATCCCTCTCCTTGGTCTATACCCTAAAGACTACAGGGACACAGCCACATCAATATTTAGTGCAGCACAATTCACAATAGCTAAAATGTAGAACTAACCTAGATGCCCTTTTAGTAGATAAATTGCTAAAGAAACTATGGTATATATACACAATGGGATATTACTCAGCAATAAGAGAGAATAAAATCATGGCATTTGCAGGTAAATGGATGGAGTTAGAGAATATAATGCTAAGTGAAGTTAGCCAATCCCAAAAAAGGTTTATTAGTAGCACAATGTTTACTCTGATATAAGGAGGTTGATTCATAGTAGGGTTGGGTGGGGGACCAAGGGAGGATAAGATGAAATCAAGATAGGGCAAAGGGAAGGGAGGAGAAATGGGTGGGAAAGACGGTGGAATGAGATGGGCATCATTACCCTAAGTCCATGTATGAAGACACAGACTGTGTGACTGTATTGTGTACAACCAGAGATATGAAAAGTCGTGCTCTGTGTGTGTAAGATGATCTGTAATGCTTTCTGCTGTCATGCATAACACATTAGAATAAAAAATAAAGTAAAACTAAAGTAAAATGCAGAAAGTACATGTGAGAATAGATGGGGAGTGTCATCTTCTCCACGCAATGCTGATGTTGGGGTTTAATATTCAAGATATTTATGTTAACAAGTGACTAACATCCAGAAAGCGCCTCTCTCCCCCACCCCTGTCTTTCTAGGTGCCCCTTCTTTCTTGGCCACAGCGTTCCTTTAGCCTGGCTAAGTGCTCCAATCTGAAAAGCCCTTCACAGCAGCATGCAGTGAGTCTCCAGGAAAAACACCCCTAGAAGGACCAGATGATGTATCCAGAGACCTTAACCAGGACCCGCCAGGGTTGCTAGTGATTAAATGAAAGTTGCCAAACCCACAATAAGACGGTCAGCAGTGTCCTCTGCCAGGTGCTGGCCCTCGCTCAGGCTGTCTCCAGCAGGCAGTGGGTGGGGGCACGACGCTCCTGAGGGGAAGGGGCTGTTTCATAGCAAAACTCGCCCACATTTTCTTATGCAGAAACAGGGACTCTTCTTGTTCCAGATTTTCCTTTCAATTTGAGGGCCACCTAGGATTGTTGATGGTTTCAGCATGGCTCCCTCTTCAGGAGACCATCCCGCCAGCTGCCAGGGCTGTGAGCCCCCGTTTCGTTCCCAGCTCAAGTCCCCGCGGCCCACCTGAGGTAGGCTCTCTCCTGACCTGTAAGTGTTCCAGCAACCTCCTTCAGGAAATGTGTGATCATCTCCTTGTTGTTTGAGCATCAATTTGGGAATATTTGGAAGGTATTCCTCGGTCCTCATATTCTTTGGCCTGTACTTCCCCAGGTATGTTAAAATAAAAATATCAGGTAGGCTTTATTCTGGCTCTCATTTGTGTGGTGACTCAGGCTTTCCGGGTTGCTCTCCTGCCGGTTAAAACGTGTTCCCAGTGTCCCACAGTTTAGAATTCAGTGTAGGGTCAAGGGCTTTGTGACCCTACACAGTGGGCCCCTTTGTTGAGTGCAAAGCTTCTATGCACAAGCGGGAGGTAAAACAGTGGAGGAAGATTTATTAGTAGCACAAGAAAGGAATCCCCTGGAGACAATTCTCCAAGCTGTGTCTCCAGAACAAAGACAGCCAGGGCCCCACAGGAAACCCTGTTCCTATGGGGAAGACTCCTTGGCCAGCCCGGGCAGGCGCCTTCCTGAGCATGCTCAGTGCCAGTCCCACAGCCCCCATCCAAATGCAGCCTCCCTTGGCAGAGGACGTAGTGTTACAATGAACAAGTGAACAGAGCTTACTCCAGGTCACCTACCTGGGTGTGTCAGAGTGACCCAGTGGCTTGGCTGGTTCCTTGTAAGCTTCTCTGGAGGGACCCACTTGACAGAATCCAGCACTGACGGAGCCCAGCAGGGGACACAGCTGGATAGGACAGCTGTGTCCCCTGCTGGTGGATAGGACACAGGTGGATAGGACACAGCTTCCCCCACTCTGGAAGCACGGGGAGTTCCTGCAAAAATGCCTGCATCCTGCTAACATCTCCTCCTGCTGCTCCTCCTCCTCCTCCTCCTCCCTTTCTGAAGTGTCTCACGTGTTCTGTTTAATCCAAGGATGGGGTTAGTCACATCATCCAAGACTTCTCATCTCAGAAATCCCTCAGCTCCACGCAGAAGGGAAATCTCTCAAGCTCTCCTGAGTCGGTGCCAAGAAGCTGAATGAAAGACTAAAGACAGGGAGTTCCTAGGCACCAGGGCCTTTGTCGAGAAGCAGCTGTGACACACTCCAGAGGTCACAGAGTGGGGACAGGTCAGCACAGGAGAACACAGGTGCCTCTGGGGCCAGCGGTAGGCAGAGACTCTGGACACTGAGCTCTGCACCATTGGAACACGGGCCACACATCGTGTTGCCTAGACAGGCCCAGAGAGCCTGGGGACAGATACCCGTGGACACAGAGAGCAGGGTTAGAGTGTGACCACCTGCGTGCCCTCCGTGGAAGTGCCCCTGTGTCTCCTTTAGGAACCGCTTACTGACACAGAAGCCCGTGATTCCTGTGGCCACGAAGTTCTGTGAAAACTCACTGTTGGCAGAAGCTACTGTGAGAGCCCTTGGGAAGCTGGAACCGGCCTGTGCCCTGTCCCCTCTGTCTGCTGGTGGCGCCCCCAGCCTCAGCCATGGGCCTGCAGGTCAGGCGGTGCTCTGGGCGGCCTGGGGGAACTCTTTGGTTTTGTCTGGCTTTCTTCTGGTCAGAGGTGCTGGCCGGGGCTTGTCTCACAACATTTCAACACGTGGACCGTCGCGACGGCCTTTTAGCCCAGCTCTCAGAATGCACTGAGGGCCTCGCGGCAGCTCACTGACCCTTGAAGCGTATGGATGGATGGGGACTTCTTCCACACAGATCGCCCCAACATGGAAAGAATTCATAAAAATAATAACCCAGAATGGGCAAGAGCCGCAGGTTCACTGCGTGGACATCGCAAACGCATGGGTAGTTCCCTCCCAGCCGTGCAGAATAAGGAGGTTGGTTTTTTTTCAAAGTTCTTTATACTCCAGTGTGTTCCCCTCAGCCATGCAGAGAAGCATGGTGTTAAGATACACTTAATTTGAACCTAAACACGATATTGGAAGCTCTATAAAGGCAGTTCCGGAGTGTGGCAAAATGCTGAGTCAGCCGTCCCTGGAGGACACAGAGGGGGGCTCCTTCAAGAGCTGGGGGATCTCCCCCACCCTCCTCCTACTGTCTCCTCTCTCCCCCTGTCCCTCCCTCTCTCTCTCTCTCTCTCACACACACACACACACAAGCACACACACATACACACAAGCACACACACACATTAGATTTAATAAATTCACTAAGATTGTAGAATAGGAAAATTAACACAAAAATCACTGTGACATTTTAATTGTTAACAATGTTGACAATGAATAATCGTGAGAGAAAAAACTCCATTTGAACTGCAACAGAAAGAATGAAATGCTTAGAAATAAATTTAACTAAGGAGGTAAACAATCTGTACCGAAAACGCTGCTGAAAGACACTCAGGAAGACACAGTAACTGTGAAGACACCCCTTACTTGTGGACTGGAAGACTCAGGATGGTAGGAGGTCGACTTCATCCAAACACCTCAGAAGGTCAAAGTCATCCCTATCGAAATCGTGATGAAGTTTGTTGCAGAAACAGAATTTATGTGAAATTTCAAAGGAGCTTTAACAGTGGGAATGATGTGGAGGGTGGATGTTTTCTGATTTCAAAAGCTACTACAAAATGCAGAGATTGAAGCAACCGGGTACTGACAGTCACACAGCCATGCAGAACAATGGTGCAGAATAGAAAGTCTGGTAACAGACACTCAGATACACAGAGGAGGTCCAGCAAGTCCTAAGGGCATTGACGGAAAAGGACACGGCTCCCTACCAAACAGTTTGTGAAGAATTGAAGAAGAGCTCACCTTGCACCATGTACCAACATTGCCTCAAAATGCAGCCAAGATTGGAAGTAAGTGATAAAAATAGTAAAGTCTAAGAAGAAAATATGGAAGGCAAAGCCTTATGAAACTGGATTTGTCAGCATTTCTTTATGAAATTGGATTTGTCAGCAAAGCTACACACAACAAAAGAAAGAAAGAAAAAAGCTGGACTTCATCAAAATTAAAAAAAAAAGTTCTGTACAACAAAAAACAGTCTATAGAATGGAAAGGCACCCCAGGGGGTGAATGAGAGATGTATTTGCAAATCATACATTGGATAAAGAGTTATATTCAGAATATATGGAGAACTCAAGCTCAATTAAGAGAGTAGCAAATATGTCTCTTAAAAATAGGCAGATGACTTGGAGCTGCCAGTTCCGTCCTTTAGTTAATCCAATGGAGATGTCCTTAGGGGAGGCCCCCCAGCAGGAAAGGACACCCACTGTGCACTGAGTGACTATACCATTAATCTCACAAATTTATTTCAAAGAAGACCATCAGAATTCTTTCAGTTATGATTATTGATAAATATAAGAAACTGTGAACAGAAGATGGAGACTTCTGAAATGATTTTTCAAGCATGACTTTAGGTGACATCTCAATCCAATGTAGAGAGACTGTTGTAGGGACAGACGAGGCCAGGTACTCGAGACAGCAGGAAACAGTTTATTTGGCTGCAGCCAGGTTCAGAGGGCACAGCTTTTGCTGTAATCAATCAATCCCTGAACC